AACTTAAAAGAGTATAAATCAGAGGTGTAATTGACAAGTTATAGGGGATACGATTTGATTGGATCCGTAGCAGATTTATCTTGAATATTTATCACTTCTTCTCATTGATTGTACAGTATCTTAATCGCTCTCCTCTTTTGTAAAAGCACTTTACAATTAAATTTCTATTATAATATACTATTCGAAACCCAATTTTTTTAAAATGATGATATCAAAGAATCTACATATACAAAAATCTTACTAGATACAAAATGTGAATCATTCAACGACAGCTAGACGAATGTAGATGTCTTTGGTATTTGTGTGTGCAGTAAGGCGCCTCGTTGTACTCTCATGATCGATCTTATCTTGTTCTACATTTGTCTATGAAGGGCACAAGAGAACCAGCATTGTCACTATCACATGATTTCTTTATGGCACATATGCAATATAATATTAATATGTATATTTGCAGATTGTGGATACGAATGTGTTTTACGGTATTCTGATTACTGGCTTGTTTTATTGCACCATCACATAATCCTATGTTTAAAAAGATTGCTAAAAATTTCTGATGATGTACTGTGGATATTAGAATGTACCATTTCCTTAAATTTTCCTGTAAAATCATAAATATTTTTATTATGTTTAGATTTTCATGTGGTTGTTTTTTTTTAACCTATAGTTTCAAATTGTGATGTGATGACATTATCGTCTCGCTACCTAAAGCTTATTAATTTGATAATGGTTTAGATATAGTGACAAGGAACTGAACTAATGTTTCTTCGATCTATTTAAGAGAAATGATTTTCTTTTATCTGTGTGATGGCAAAGCTCGTCGAATGCAGAACTTGCTTTATTATGAGCAATATGCACTGAGTAGAAAAATACATTAGAATTTGAAATAAAATAGTGGTAGATGTAAGTTCTTTAATTTTAAAATTATTTGGTTATTCATAGTGTCCATAATTTTCGAATTCCTTTTCTGAAAAAATTATGTGTCAAACCCATAATAGGTCTAACATTAATGATCATCCTAGAAAATTTTGTAAAAAACACTCTTATATGCATATGTAAAGAAAGTCCAATTGAAAACATTGAGAGACTATAAGTTTTTAGCACGTTCGACAACCAGTGAGGTCAGTATGTATCTCGTCAAAAACATACCAGAGCATCTTTCATTGGGAATCTTTCATGAGAATATCTCATCTGAGATACCCATTCACTCTCTCCTAAAAAAATTTACATTTGTCAATTTATTTAATTATTATTTTTTATGATAAATCATATTATTTATAGTTTAGAATATTAATTAAATAGTTTCTATATTGTTGTTTTTTATTTTTTATAAATCATAAAATAAAATTATCTATATATCAAATTACATTATGTATAAAATATAAATTACTATATATTAACATTATTTTTAATTGATATTATTTAAGGTTAATATGAAATATTAAATTAAAATTGTTTTAGTTAATAAAATAGAGAAATTTAAAAAAATGCCACTTTTCAAATGCCACTTTACAAAAATGCCATACTTTTGAAATCCTTACAAAAATGACACTTTTTCAAAATTATTTTTTCTTTATATTAGTTATGTTTGAGTTAATTATGTTCTATTAGGGTTTAGTTTTGAGTGTTTAGGGGGTTTTAGGTGTCAAAACATTTTTTAGGGTTTAAAATTTTAAGATATAGCCTTTATAAATCTATAATTAGTGGCATTTTTGTAAATGGACACCTCTAAATGGCATTCTTGTAAATATGCACACAAAAAATGGCATTTTTGTAATTGCCCCTATAAAATAATATATTATTAAAAAATGAGATTTTTAAAATTAAAAGTTATGTTTTAAAATATTTAATATTATCTTTCATTGATTTTACATAAA